AGCAATGAATGTGAGCTGAAGTCAAACACACACAAGTCCAGTGCTCACCCCACCAACGCTAATGTAGAGCACCCACCGGCAAGCAGGGAGGCTATGGGAAGCACACGCAGAGAAGAGCCCTCTTGCCTGAGCACACAACACAAGAAGAGACAGAGGAAGCCTCAGCACCGTGGCAGTAACCTCACGGGATCACACAGACACCAAGAAGGCTTTCTGCCTAAGCTCTTATTTTGCAAACAGAAGCCATCATCTTTCCTGATTCCAAACATACTGCAAGCCCTGCAGTAAGCACAATGGCTTTCACCAGGAAAAATAAAAAATTAATGCAATACTCATCCCTTTTCCTTTGTTTCAGCCACTCTCTGCCATCCCATCAGCTCAAGCACCTCAGCCAGGTCCTTTCCCCCCCTGCAGATCCAAGCTCAGTGGTCATTTACACTTTGCTCCACGCTGTATTTATCAGCAGCCCCAGGAAAGCTCCCACCTCCTCACTGCCAGCTGTGGGAAAGGCAATCATCAGCCTCACTGAGCTCAGCCCAGAGAGCTGATTATCTACACAATTTTTAGACAAAGTCACTCCTCAAAGTTCCTATTGACTTTTTGGAAAGTTTTGAACAGAAAGGGTAGGTCAGGAGAAAAGTTTCTTTAGAGGAATAGAGCTAATACATTAAAGTAAACCTAATGCATTTTTTCTTTTTTTTTTTTTAAAAAGCAATGCAACTTTTAAGTTCAAATTTAACATTTTAAGTAAGCCAGCTTTTACCTTAGCTCATGCAAATAAATATGCTACTTACACACAAGCAACAGCCTGGGCAAATCCTCTATGCAGCGAGCAAAGTAAGAACTAACGAATAAGAACAGGAGAGTCCTTTAGGCGAGAAGAGAGGCTAATGAGCAGAGACAGCGCACGTACCATGCTCACTTCTGCTCTCACACCAATGCAGCTCTCTTAGCTTCAGTAAACTTGTTCAGTAAACTTGTTCCTAATTTACATTAGGGAAGAATAGAATCAGCTGTCTTTTTTAATTGTTGAGATGCAACGTTACTGTAAACTGTACACACCTGCCAGCACGGTGAGTTCCACCACACTGGGTTTTAGGTGTTGGTTCAGTTCTTGTACATGGGAGAGCAGCTAATTCCCAGTCCTGCTTGCTCCAGAAACAGAGTCTCCCCCTCAGCTACCTCCAACAGAAATATCTCTATGGCACAGCCTGCTTTCTGCTGTGGGGCAGTGGTCAGATAGGTCCTACCTGTTCTTCAAGTTCTGTGATAAAGATCCATGACTTGCCCACAGGGGCTTAGCTAGGGATCCTGCTATGCTCCAGCCTGGTCACTGAGCTGTGAGATGCAGCTTTGGGCACAGGAAGAGCTTGACACGGTGGCATGGAGAGTAAAGCCTTGCAGAGACTCTGTGCCAAGTCACATCACTTCATGTCCACTGCTGTCCGCCCGGCCAAGGCAGGCCCGAGCTGCATCTACCCGATTCCCCCGAGCAACCCTTTGCTACAGGATATCATAAAACTATTTGCCAAAACGTTTTGCTGTCCCGGCTTCCCAGCAGTTTCCTGACATTTTATTTCTAGACAAGAGCTCATACTTCAATACTCCTCCTTCCCTCCTCATCTCCCCTTCATTTCCAACCTGTTGACCAATACAGTTAAAGAAGGCAGAGATCTAAACATGCAATTACCTTCTTATAGATGGTTATGAAAAGGCAGTCGGAGCCCCACAACTTTGCACCTTTTGAGGTAAAGCTGTGAGCTCAGTCCTCACAGGACAGGCTCAGAGTCTACGTTTAAGAGAGAGAGACCGCAAGCCTCAGGAGCTGTTTGGATGTGGAGACATCAACAGATACTACCAAGGTGCAAAGCCCCAGGACAGCAGGTTGTCTTGGCTTCCTGCTAGCAAAACTGCTCATTTCCTCCTGCTGCTGACATAGTTACACGGCATCATGATACTACTTGGTATCAAGCTATCAGTGGAGAGCAGGCTTGTTACCATGGGTGCTTTTGGAGATAGGGCACTTTCTCACAATACCCACAGCTGGCCCATGCTGGAGAGCAGATTTCCCAGTTAGGGCAGGTCTCTAGACGTGATCCACCTCTCCTGTAAACCCATCACCTCCTCTTTCACATCACATTGCTCCCAGTGCTGCTGCAGTCAGTCCTGCACAGGCAGCACTTTCTGCATGGGGTGCCCAGCACCACCAGCGTAAGGAACCAGCCAGAAATCCTGCCCAAAGTTTGACAGGACAGAGCAGCAACTCTGGCAGCAAGTCCAGGCACCCAGAGCAACACTGGTCTCAAAGCAGGTTGTAAGATCAGGGGGGTGAGAAGGGTACCCACGTTAGCATAAACATTCAGTTTATTTTTACTTATCACCACTGAGAGACCTCTTGCTCTAGTCCTCATTCACTGTGGTTCCGATTATAACCCCTTGGTTTCCCTGAGCAGAGAAGGGTCACATCTGCTCTTGGACAAAGTCTTTTGCCTCCTGGGACTAAACCACCACACTGCTCTGTGTAGACTAGTTCAGTGTTGTACACTTTCCACCTTCCCACACGTCCATCACGTGTTTTTACCTTTCTTCTGCTCCCATGTTTATTTTTTCCACCTTCCTGGACCACCTCACACCTGGTCCTGCTGTACCCACCCCTTCTTTTTTCATTCCTCCAGAGCTTGTGGTAGAGCCTAGAGAGCAAGGGTTTCCTTTCTGCCTTTTTTTCCACTCCCAAGCATGAGCCTTGTGCAAGGGGGACCATGATGGGGCAGCACTGATGGGGGAAGGGTGCACACCTTAAGGGTACACTGGTTCTGCAGCATTTTCCTGCACTGTTACCTCCCAAGCGCAAAATACAGAACTCTGTTTTGCTTTGCTCTTTAGGGGAAGTTACCATTTTTCTATACAGCCAGCATCTTCAGGCACTGGCACTTTGATAACTTAGTATTTCTTCCCCTTTCTAGGGTGATCACAGTACAGGAGTTACTGCACATATTACGGTCATTCTATTTTAGTGCGGGAATCAACATCCTTTGGCAAATACCAATCCCCGTATCAAACCCCAACTGTTCCCAAAAAAACTGATCTAGAGACTCCCCCACTGCTACCTAGTTTCTGTTGTTTTAAGTAACAAACTAAAGCATAACCCTAGATCATGGATTTAAGAAGTCTCTGGAGTGAGACAGCATGCTGCCTATCGAACTTGCTCTTCAGGAGACAAATGCTTTGCCAGAAAAATTTAAGCACTAAGTGTGAAAAAGCCATCCCAAAATTTATTCTCAAAATGTCAACAGAAACGCATCAGTAGATACTCAAAAACTACAGAGTTCTTAAAAGTCATACATTCACAATGCAGAAACTTGACAATTGGGATGCCTTTTGCATGGTCTATGTAACAATATCCATTTTACAGTGTAAACAGGTACTGGTATGTTCTTACTTACAAGTCCAGCAGGAAAGGCACAACTCGGCATACAGAGATCATATGCAAGAATCAGGTGCAACAACATTACACAAACTTTTGGTAATCTGCATTTTTGGGGCCTTCCACAACGGAGACTGGACTTGAAGATTTCCTGCAGTCAACAACTAGACTTCTTTCCATCGTTCAGTCCTTCCATACCAAATGCTCACTTTCCAGTCTGGTTTAGATCCCATTACACACACAGTTCCAGCAGACGTTAGAGGAATAGTGAAAGGTCAGTCCAGTAAGTCTTCAGGTGCTTCCACTAATACATCAGGTTTTGGTTTCAGATAGTGCATGGAAGCATCTGCTTGAATCTCAGTTCATTACAGTGGTCATTAATAGAAAAATAGACACTACAACTACAAAAGGAAAAAATGAGGTAGATAACTTAGAATCCAGATGACTATCCCAGCAACCTTCATACAATACAAACGGATCATTAATTACCATTTTGGTAGAATGTAAGTTCACAGACCACCAAGAAGCTTAATGACCAGAGTAGGAATGCCATCCAAAAACCCACAAAACATTTAACCTAAGCATGAATACTTCATATTTAAATACAGGTTTACACAGACTGATCTTCTAAATTACCCAAATGAAAAAAAAAAATAAAAATAAGAGTCTCTTGCTAAGAAAACCAGTTCCCATGCCTAATTGCAACAGTCACCTGAGATTCCTTGCAGAGCTGTTAGACCTGACTTCCCAAGGCAAGTCTTCCCTTTCAAGAGAGGAGGAAAAAAAAAAAAAAAAAAAAGTATATACATACCCACCCACGCTTGTTTGGGGCTCTTGGTACTGAAATAAAAACATTTAGGAAAAACTGCACATCTTTGGAAGTAGGAGTTTTGGCACTATACTTGAAGGACTGTCCTAGTAGTAGTATTAAATAAGCAGCAGTCAACAATACAGAGAATTAATTCCTTAGGAGCAGTGATTAAAGAAAAACAGCAACTTTCTTTTCATAGAACTTCTGAGGCAAAAAAGGAAGTAAAACAAAAAAAATCTGTAGTTTTTATAGCCATTATAGTAAAAAGTACATTCAGAAACCACACAGAGCCAAAAATCCAAACAGAAAAACTATTTCTAAGAGGGTGGCAGACATTCTAGGATATTTACCCGCATTAATAGTTTTCATTTCTCATCAGTAAATAGAAGCTTTTCCATCAACAGTAGGTTGTTTCCACTCTAGTCAAAACCCCCAAGTATTTCACTCTCAACAAAGAGGTAAATATTCTAACCTTTGGAATTTCAAGTTGTAGAAACTTCTGTAAGGCTGTACACATTAAAGTCACACATAAGAACTACTTTGCAAGACCCGCATCTTTCCAAATAGAAGGAAATCCTATTCTTTATTATTTACTATTTGCAAAGCAATATCATGATTGTACTCTGGGCAACTCTTACAAAGACAACCATAAAATCATTTGCACGTCAATAGGAAAATAGGAGGCTGAAGTGGAATCTCTTAAAAATATATGTTTGTGTATATATATATATTTGCTCTTTCTGTACGTCAACCTCACTAGAGATTTTAACTAACAGCAATTTTGTTCTCCTCCATGAAGTGAGGGAACTGGTGTTTTGGCACATTGTCTGCAGCAGCACCACTGGCCTTCTCCGTTTCAGAACCAGTCCCAGACTGGGTCCCATCTATTTTGGAGACTGTAGCAGTATTTATTGCCGAACCACCCCCAATGGTGACTGGAAGGGTAGGTAAGCCACCGCTCTGGATCACCGAGATCTCGTTAGTCTTCATTGCTATGCCATTGCTGAGTACTGCTGCATACTGATTCCATACTGCGGGGTCAATGCTCACTGAAGGAGGCATTATATCCTTTGGAAACATTTCAGATACCTTCTTGGGGTCGTTCCCCAGCAGAGCCATGGGGTTATCGATCGAAAGCCTTCTTCCCCGCCTGGCAGAGTTATTCCACATGTGAGTTCCTACATGGACCTTCCAGATGGGAAAAAAGTAAAAAGAATTGTTAAAAAGAACTGCAGTTCTTTTATTGTATACCCAAGTTCTACTTCGTTTACAGCCAAGTTGCTCAGAAGAAGTCATGCAATGCTCCATTTGCATTCAGGTAAGCACTTAAGCTGGCTGGTTCTTGTCTTTGTCCTCTTCCTGGCATGTGTAAGATATAGTCGTTCTACTGCCCGACACCACTGTGGCTCTCTAGAGTTTACTGCTGAAGTGCTTGTAGGACTGTGTTTTTACACTTATCGTTAAGTGGCATTGGCAAAGATGTCCCTCTCACCCCTCAAAAATAAAAGGACATTATTTGCTGTGAACAGACTACATTGAAAAAAATACCAGTTAACACAGACAAAAAAAAAAACCCGCACCAAGGAATTTGGAAGAGAGGTTACACCTAAGCTAAAATCCTCCACATCACAAACACACCGACCGCTAGTGCTTCCAGCAAGTGACTGTTCACAAACTGCAGTGTTCTCCCTCCCCATCAGCATTTATGCAAGAGGACTGAAGAACCTAAGAGGTTCTCATGGGAAGCGAGAAGCCTCTGTGCGAGCGAGGGAGCTGCAAGTCCCTTACAGGGCAAAAGGATTAGTCCGACAGTAAGGACAAGCTTGCAGCACTTCTTCAGCAAAGTGCTTAGACACAATCCCCAAGTACTTTGTGCCGTCTCAGGCTTATCCTCTCAGTTTTATCCCTCCCTGTCCTGCATGGTGTTTCGAGCAGTGCAATGCATGTATTCTGTAGGCGTCATTTTGTAGCAGTCAGTCTATGAAATGTTTATGTCTTGACACATGCAAATCTAAACAAAAATAAAGCAATCTGCTTAGTAAGGGCTAGGCCTTCCCTACCATCCAAAAATGAACGTCAAGGACAGTAGCAAAGACTTTTGCGGGCGATCGCAGTACGCCATTTAGCAAGTTGTGTGAGGAAACTCGGGAAGGAGAGACTGAAGTCAAAGATAACCATTTGAGGAACTGAAAGAAAATCAAAGTTGCCCCCAAAGGCAGGGCAAATATTAGCAATAGTCTTTCCCTCTCTGGTATGACCTTCCCCGACAAAGGGGATCACAACATAAGAGGCGACTTACCTTCAGGTTTCCTTTCGTTGTAAAGGCTCTCCCACAGATGGTGCAGGCAAATGGCTTTTCACCAGTATGGGTCCGTTCATGAATCTGAAGGGCGCTGGCAGAGGAGAAGTTCTTCCCACACGTAGTGCAGATGTGCTGTTTGGCGGGACGGCAGAATTTCGGTCGTGGCACGAGGAGAGGGGCAACACCAGGGGAGAGAGCTGGTGGGCCAATGAAATGGCTAGTGCTAATGGGACGCTCGCTGGGCATCTCCATTTTTATTAGGGCTGGTGGGGCTCTAACAAAAGCAGCTGGAATACTACTTCGACCTGGAAAGAAAGCAAAAGATAACCTTTACCCAAACCTCCTTCTGCTTCTGAGCTTAGATCTGGCTAAGATACCAGAGGCCCTGCCTTTGGAGCTGCATGTGCCCGAGAAGCATGCCCACAAAGCTCTCCAGAGGCACATTGTAGGGCTGCTATTACGCTTGGTAGGATGCTCTGAAAGAAATCAGATCATGCCTATTTTTGTTGGTGAGCTTAGGAGTTAGAAAGTCTCACTTTCAGGTCAAATTTAGATCAACATTGGCCTCAATGCTAAAGAGCTCGAAAACCCCACAAAAGATTCCAGAGTTTTAACGTCACATTCTTGGGTTAAGTGGTTTTCCAAGAAACACAAACGTGCATCTTTAGGGAGCTACAGGGAGGTATCGGGTAAGCCCGTGAAAGATTCTAAGTGCACAGCCTCTATTTATTTTAAGGACCTGTATGCTACCCTTACAGGAGATGACAACACTTAAGTCTTCGAATTTTGCTGAATTTTGAGTCTGGCTGAGTCAGGAACACTTTACAGGGCATATGCCCCTATCCTAATAGAGGAGAAGGAAGAGGGGAAAGCTGAGCAGGTTTTGACTTCTGTTGGTCCCTTTAGAGATGGGTTTCCTCCGGTCCTAAAACCCGCCCCAAGTTACCGTCAGCATTTCACATTACTTACCATATTCTCCATTTGCAAAGTGTAACCCAGGTTCTTCTTTAATGACCTTCCGACCAATATTGCCGTAAGTTAAATCCAAAGCACCGACGACCCCTTCCATTTCTGCAGAAGCATTCTCAGGACCCTCCAATTTATTTCCCGTGCCTGTATCTTCTTGATTGTTGAAGCTAGGCGACTTTGACCTTACACTTTCAGCTTGGCTGTTGGCTGGGGACAGAGCCTGGAGCGATGCAGACTCAGAGGCAGCAGGACTCCTGCCGTTCTGATAATCTGGATCTCCTGCCACAGAAGAGGAATCATTTGTCATGCCATCACTTTCTGCTGAGCCATTGTCACTAGACTTCAAGCTGCTTTGCCGCTGCAAGTTCAAAGCAGAATTGACAATCTTCATTTGATTCTCCAGTGCTGCAATACCAGAGAAGGTGGCTGCCGTGGCTGGCGATTCTGATTGTGCATCGTATGGAGTAGGAGGTTTTGAAGAACTCCTAGGGCCATCCTGAGAGTCCAGGTCCTCTTCCATCTCTATGCTCTCCACGGTCTCGTCTGGGCGACTGATGTCTCCATTCTTCTCAGTCACAGCAGGATCCCCATCAGTATTGTCGCAGGCGTTTTCCGGCATTGGCGTATTGGGTATTTGCCCCCCCATATGCATGCGGATATGCTGCTGCAACACAACTGCATTTGTAAACTTCTTCTGGCAAATAGGACACGAATGTTGCATCTTCAAAGGAGTATTGGCCCGGTGGACACCATAATGAGTTTTAAGGTTCCCTTTAGTGGAGAAGGCACGGCCACAGATTTTACACTTGAATGGCCTCTCTCCAGTGTGAGTACGATAATGCATTTTGAGTGAGCTCTGGCAGCTCAGCACTCTGTGGCAGATCAGGCACTCGTTGGGGTCAGCAGTGGATTTGTCGATATTTTCAACCAGTTGCTGAAGCTTTGATGTTTCTGAGCCTTGTTCGTTTGACCCGCTAACATGGAAGATGCTCACGCTGCAGGTAGCTTGCGGTGAACTCAAGCTCTGCTCTGTTCCTGATTCGTGACCGACTGCCCCCGATGAGGAAGAGCCACCCTCACTTTCTGGAGAAGGCCTTGACTGCAGGTCACTTGAGAACGTACCAGGCAGAGACTCCTTAACGCCTGCTAGGTTGGAGATGGTCTGAGGTGCACCGGTGGCCGCAGAGGTAGGCAGAGTTGTTAGGAGAGGTTTGCTATCCACAATTAGGTTAGACTCATCCAGTGGCACAGACATCCCATATGGGATTCCAGTGCTAGTGGGAACATTGTCCAGGTGCTCAGGAACCGGGTAAGGATTCATCTTTATGTGGGGGTATTTGTCTTTGTGACGCTGAAAATGCACTTTAAGGTTTCCTTTGGTTGTAAAGCGGTTACCACAAATGTTACACTTGTAGGGTCTTTCACCGGTGTGGGAACGGAGGTGAATCTGCAGGGCACTGTCATTGCCAAAGACCTTGCCGCAGAATTTACACTTGTGTTTGAAGAATGGCTCTTCTGCATTCGGTTTGCTTTCAGATACACTAATGTTGGGAGGTTTTCCCTTCCCCTTCTTTGAGGAATCTATTACAGAAGAAACGGCCGAAAGCGGATTTTGGAAGATGACGGAGTTGGAGGACTGAGGTAGCAAAGGATTCGGGAACCGAGAAATGGAGCCGGGGAGGCTTCTGCTTGCCTCTGGCTTCAAGGGGAAGGAGGAGGAAAGCCCAGCAGCCAGCGAGCCGGCAGCCGCAACGCCAGTGTTAGAATGAGGTAGTTTTCCTTGCTTCAAGGATTCCAGTGATAGGCTCTGGCTTCCAGCTTTCTGTCCGATTAAAGCAACAGCAGCCGACAGCTGCTGAGACATGTGAGCGCCCAGAGCTTTTAGTGGATCAGTAGCAGCTGCTATGGAGGGATGCAGGGCATGGGGAGCCATCATGGCAATCTGGATGCGAATTTGCTCCGTCAGCTGAATTTGCTGGAGTTGCTGCTGCTGCAAACACACGAGCTGCTCCAGGATCATGGGGATAGCATTAAAACTGGCTGCTGAAGAAGAGATGGCATCGGAGGTCCGCTGGTTCACAGCCACTTTAGTGCCACGTATTGTCTGCAAAGTCACATTAGTGTTTGGTACTTTGGATTTTGGTAGATAGCTTAGCCCAGGAGCTGCAGGCGTGACAGGGGGTTCTATTTTAAGGTACATTCCTCCTACCGACTCAGCATCCATTTTTCCTTCTCTCTTTTCTATAGAACCAGTGCAGCCCTTTGCCTGAATGTCCTTGCGTGTCCTGCTATCCATTCGATCACTTGGAAAGCTCCCTAGAGAAGCTTCAGAGAAGCTTTCCGGGGGTACTGTTCCCTCACTGTCATTCATGATTAGAACAGGTGGATTTTTAGTGCAATTTTTCTTATGCTCAAGAAATTCAGAGAGATCAAAGAATTCTGCACAGCATTTCTCACAGATTTTAGTCTCCTCCGTGCGGCATCTTTTGGAACTCATTTCACCATCTCCGTCACCTGGGACGTCTTGTGGACTCCCTTAAAATAAAAGAAAGTCACATTAGTAATAGCTAGATTTAGACTGAGCATTCCCTATTCTTACGATCACTTGACTTCACCCAAATTTTGAGTTAAAGATACAAGACACTGGAATCAAGTTTGCAGATTGATCTTAAGTCCTGCTCTTTCTTTTCCTTTGTGTGGCCCAAAAAAAAATCTGCATCTCAGTTCTGTTTTCAATAAAAATAATACAAAAGGAATCGCACAAGGCTTGATGGAAAGAGGTTTACTGCAAATCCCTTTATGCAGGTAAAAGGGAACAGCGCAGCAAGTCAACCAGCACCTGCTAAACTCTTCAAGAGGAACACGACCCAGGGAAGACAGAAAAGGCATCGACATGGAACAAAACATTACATAAGCTTATTTTGTGTTTGCACTTCAGTTTGTAATCCTTAGTTAACCATCTCACAGAAATTCATACAAGACTTAAAACAAGAACTTCAGAGCAGTTCTTAATTGTACACTGATCTATTAAAGGACAACCTCTCGCCATTATGGAAGTAATTACTAGCAAAGAGGGCTGACGAAAGCAAAAGTAAGTCCAATATTAGCTTTTAAATACTTCAAAAGCACACTTGCATTAAAAAGCCACAGTAGTAAAGAAAAGATGATTAACTTACAGAACCCCACACGTAGATATGAGCCTACATCGATACCGATGGATTACTAGAGAGCAATGCAACAAGCCCTGCTTGCAGAACAGGCAAAGGTTTCAGACCCGCTCAGGACAGGGTGCTTAGCTGCATCCGCAAGTCACCCGCTTTTGG